TCTATAAATTTAAAAGGAAAAAAATTATTGAATTATTATTGTATACCTTTGTATTCGTATTCATTTGCCATAATTACACTCAGAGTTAGGCTGGACAGGGATTACTTGTATCTTAGATACAAGATACTTTTAATCTTGTAATTCTTTTGACATTTTTAGTAAGATACTTACATCTGTATATGCAGTTACTTTTTTAAAACATGTTAAAATTTAATAATCATTAACCTTATTGCGTGAATTCTGGTAAAAATTATTTTAAGACTCAAACCATAGACGCCTCCAGAATTTTCTATGGGTGGGGTTAATAAATTTATAGGGCACTTTGCCCCCAATCCCATTTTTGAACTCGGCCGATGTATTTCTCCGTTCTATCACTGCTTTGTAATGTTGACAATTATGACTAGCATGTAATAATTAGAATAAATGTTTTTCGTGATACTTGTATTCATGAATAATTTATTTAGTAATATTGGTTATGACTGACGTATAATGACTAAGTATAATATTTTTGTAAAACTGACATTTATGATTGGCTTGTAAAGATTAAATTTTTTAGTAACTGACATTTTTGATTCACAAATATAGTTTAAATATTATATTTTTAATTATATTGATAACTATATTCTGTTTAAAAGTATATGCAAACAAATGTGGAATCTGAAATCAACAAGCTTAATTTTTAAATAATTTAATGTAAATCTATGAAATGGGGAATTAATTTTATTTATTACTCTCAAACAATTTATAATACACTTTAATACAATAGGTCTTGTATAGATTTAAGCATCAGTTTATGGTCATTATATTAATTAAAAGTTTCTCTTATTTTATTACATTATAATTCAAGTTATTTTATGTTAACCATTAGTTTAATTTAATAATATTATAGAAACAACTAAATAAATGTATATATAATTCATAGTAAAATATTCAAAAATATTTTAATATTATGCTAAGATTCGAGAAAATCTGGATAAAGAAATCTATTAAAATTGTTAAGCTTAATCATTAAATAAAAGATTTACTGATATTCCTGCTCAAAGGAGCAGTTAATTATATCTATATAAAAAGAATAGAAAATGGATGTATAAATAATATCGTAAACTCAATTACCTCAGAATTTAAAATTACTATTTAGAGTATTGCATTCATAAAAAAGTACAGACCTTATTGTCAATAGTAAATTATATATTCGTAGGTATGATGATATCTATTGCCAGCTTTTCAGTAATATGTTATATATCGTTTTTTTAAATTTTGGCCACTCCAAGTAATTGTAGTTAATTTTTAAGGATAATTTTTGATATATAAAATAAAAATAAGATGGCAATGAATTAGGAAATTTAGAAAATAATATATATATTAAGAAATACATTTTTAATTATATTGTGTGTCTTATTTCAAAGGTTACTTGGAAACATTAAAGTTCTTACCTTGTGATGACTTATTCTTAAAATTGACACAAAACAATCCTTAGCAAGCTTCAAATACAAACCTAGGATTTACAGTATTGGATTCACAAAAAAGTAAATTGACTTTATTTATTGTTAATAGTAAATTATATATTCTAAGGTATGATATCTATAGACATCTATTCAGTAATGTTATATATCATTTTTTTAAATTTTGGTCACTCCAAGTAATTATAGTTGTTAATTTTTGGTATATAAAATAAAAATGAGATGGCAATGAATTAGGAAATTTAAAATAATTGAGAAAATAATAAATATAAAGAAATACATTTTAAATTATATTGTACGTCTTATTTTAAAGGTTACTTGGAAACATTAAAGTTCTTACCTTGGGATGAATTATTCTTTAAAATTGACACACAACAATCCCTAGCAAGCTTCAAATTTACAAACAATTTCTCTTTTTTTATATAAATTTTTTTATTGAATTTATTATGTTGAAATTTATAAATTATAAATTTTTTTATTGAATTTATTATGTTGAAATTTATAAATTATAAATTTTTTTTTTGAATTTATTATGTTGAAATTTCTTAATTATATCTTTTGATATATTTTTTTAAATAGAGTTTATAAAAATAAATTACTCTTAATGAGCTCCCATAATCTTAATTAATTTACCTAAATTAATATAATTTTAAAAACTTAAGAACCATTTGGAAAATATTTATACCAATTTCTAACAGACTTATTGAGATTTTCTTATGGTTCTTCAGGGTTGCTAGAATTACTTCAAACTGGTCAAATTATGTATTTTGGCAAAATTTTGCCATTAAAATATTCATTACGAATTTTAACATTTTATTAAAACTTATTTGGTGGCAATTTTTTTTATTTAAAAAATGATATTCATGTTATATACTAAATTTTTAATATCGTCATTTTTGAGTTGATGATTTTAAAAAAAAGATTAGTTCAGATTTTAAAAAAATTTCTAAATTTATTTTTAGACTGTGAAATTGTATAAGCAATACAAATTAATCTAAAGTAAACATAATTGGTGTGATTATATGGTGTTGTAATGAAATGTATATAAAAATGGTATGATTAAAAAAGATACCTTTATTCTATATATTTATTTATAATATGCTTTAAATAGGATAAATAAAAAGAAATATGCATAAAAACTAGACAAATACAATCAACTAAAATACTATTAGTAAAAATATCAACATTTGTAATTAATCTTCAAAATCAATAATATTAACAAAATGTGATCCAGAATTGTTAATATAAATGTTTTTTATATTTCCATCATCATATCTAAATAGCAGATACATTTGCCAGCAAATAAAGCTCCATAGTTGTCATACACCATAATCGGGGTAATGAGAAATGTGGCAACACTTTGCATCATTGCCCATTCAGCATTCTTATTTACCTTTTCTATTATATACTGTTGTACATCATCTTCACATGTATTTTGACCCTAAGCATTCTAATATATTTTTTTGCAGCATCAGCAAGACCACATGTGATCTAATCAAACCATAGGAGTCTTGTTTTCCTGTAATCTCCATAGATCTAATTATTTTTTTTAAAAATTTAAATGTTACTATTTCTAAAAACCAATCATGCTTTAAAAAAAAATAATGCTCTAATTAATATAGGATATAATCATTAAAATTTAAGGTAAAGAAAAAAATAAAACCACATCCCACGAATGAATATTAGTATAAAAAATACAATCATAATTTATAAAATATGAACCTATATAATCGGGCAAATTTTTTTATAATTTTTAAATTACCAGTAAAAACAATTCTCATCTGGTTCAATTGTTTTCATCCGTGATTGAACAGTTACCACCCTTCCTATATTTTGGAGAACTTTCTTTTTTACTGACATTAAATTCAAGTGAGAAGCATATTTTCTCAAATATTGGTAGTTGGATTATAAAAATGTTGAATGATTTTAATGAATGTGTCATCTATGGCTTTAAATATTTAAAAAAGGAAATTTATCATGATTTTTAAGTATTACAATTAACTGTAAATAATTAGAATTTTTTAACTTTGAGTCTGAGTGTACAAAGTCTACTAGCTCACTTGAAGATCCTTCAAAAGGTGTAAAGAAGATTTTTTTATTATCTAATTAAAAAGAGTTATGAATTTGTATATAAAGAACTATTGTAAACATCATATGAATTTTTAACTTTTTATTGATTTATCCTTTTTATATACATTTTCTTGACCAAAAAATATTGGCAATTAACTTCGTAACTTTTTATCGATTCGGAAAATGCGTATAAATAAGAAAAAATATAGCTTTTATTTCTTACTAATATGCCACTTCGCGTAAGTCTATCATCTCCCTTTTTCTTTGATCAAATCCAGGGATCTGGACCGAACCCGGCTTCAGGGTTCTTTTTCCGAACCCTAACCAAACATGGGCCTTAAAATATTTAGGTAAACCCGGGTGGGATTTTTTCCTGATAAATACCTTATCAATTAATTTAATCCCTTAATAATATAAATATAAGAAATTAAATATTTCTATTTTTATGGAGAGCATAAAAATTTTAAGCTATTTCAAAATCAATTATGTATCAAAAATTTTACTTATAAATTTGAATAAATATTTATTATTTTGCTAATATGATCTTAATTAAAATTACTAGTACATAATTTGAATTAATACTTTGAGTTATAATCTTATTATCTCAGATTTTCTTTGTCAAATATCTTTTTTAGCAGAAATTAATTAGGGAAAGAAACTTATAAAATGCAAATATAATTTAATTCGATATTATTTTTTATATAATATTGATTTGTTTCTTAAAAATTATGAATCTGGATTGAACCTGGATTTGGCCGACTGAAATAACTCGTGACCAAACCCCTTTTTAAAATTTTCCCTGACTCGAACCCTGATCAAATCACCCACTCATATATTACACTACAATTTAAGAATTTGTTTTGAATGCACTTATTAAATACTATTGGTTGGTACTAAAACGTTATTCTGGGTATCCTTAGCTTACATTTAGCTAGAGAATATTTTTATAGACTTGCCTTTATCTTATATTTCATTTCTTAAATAATATTTTTGGTTTATCATTTTTTATATAAATGCTTTTTTCCAAAAATATAAATTGTAGTCATTAGTTTTAGGTCAAAAAATTATTAACTTTTACATTCTTTCTTTAAAATTATTGTTTAAGATATATGCACATATTTTTGGTGAACAGAAGATGGGGAGGGGGCTAATGAGTATATTTTTTTTATTAGTTTAAAATGATTCACAAAAGGGACATATTTTTGAAGGTGCCCCCCCCCCCCAGATTCGCCATGCTTGGTATCTCTGGTTGGTCTGATTCAAATATAAATTAGGAAATAAGAGGGCCCAAATGAACCAATCCTTAATGATTTTGCAAAGATTAAAAGGATCAATCCACACCTATATAATTTCCTGAACTAAGTTCATATTTGTTGTAAAATTTGCCAGAAATGTGGCTTAATTTGATATATCTTATTTTTCATTGAATACTTTTTTAAAATAAATTTTATTCATAAAATTCAACCAAAACAATTATTATGATCTATTACATATTGTGAAAAAAAATTAAAAGCAATAAAAGAATTTAGATTATTATAAAATATTTATGTAAAAATAATAAGTAAAATATCGATGAATCCTGCCACCTGTGATTTATTCTCACATGATTATTTACAAATTCCATAAAAATGTGGTAAATCAAGAATGCAAACCACTAAATGAAGACTCTGGGTTTGTATTTATTTCCGATTAACTTTCAGCCTTTTTAGGTAATTAACTATAATTAGATAAAATATCAAATCAGATTAGTGATTTCAATGAAATATTATATTGAGGTAAAAAAAGAAGATAATTTTCAATCTAAACCTATAATTCACAATCAAAGTTCATGATTTAAATTTTTAAACAATCACTATTATTGGAAAAATAACACTTGAAAGGCTTTGAGATAAAAAAATACGAGATTTTATAAACAACAAGCAAAATTTTTGAATCTTAATTAAAAAACTATGTGTGAGCAATTAAAAATTATACATTAATGTTACATATTTAATTTATTTAATTCTGAAATGATCTATTACAAAATATTTTTATAATGTTTATAAAATATGATGATAGCATATGCTAATTTAACTAGCTTCTCCATTTATTGTTAATGGTGCTGCTTTCATTAATTCTACAATGTCTATTTTCTTTTTCTTCTTTTTTATAACCCGTTTTGTTGATGATTTAAGTAGTGCCTTAATTTTAATTTTATAATTCCTATAAATAATAAAAAATACATACATTTATTGAATCATCTTCAATTTTAAATTTTGATTCAAAATTGTCAAGAATAAATGGACCAGAAGTAATCCTAACATTATTGTTTGGCATGATTAATAATGTGTATTTAAAATGAGCAACATATTCACCTATAAAATAAGTATAAATAACATTAAATTTTTTAAAAGACCTTCCTTTTCCCAAAGTACAGGAAAGGGTATCATCAGTTTATGATTGACACATTCAAGTAAACCCATTCTTGCTTTTTTTTCATCTTCACAACCCCTATAATTATAACAGGATGAAAATACATATATATATTAAGAGTGACACACCTTAAGGTAAATGGCATCAATCCAAATTTTTTATCAACTTCACTATATAAAGCTTAAAAAAATTTATATATATGAAATTACTGTTAAATACCTCTTGAGGCTTTCAATTTTAGGTTATATATTTCATCAGTTTTTTTATATACAGTGGTCCTAGCATCCATTTCTTTACCCTTTTTAAACATATAATTTATATTAACTTTAAATAAACAATTTAATAATGTGTATACAGGGTTGATGGCATCTTGTATCTAATAAAAGCAATACTGGCTTAATTTTAACTCATTAATCCCCAAAATAATATTCAATTTAAAAAAACCTGCCTATTAAGCCATAAATTTATAAATAAAATTATTAAAATTTCAACAGGTAAGAAAGAACATTAAAAAAATTATATTAATTCTTTTTATTTGTAAAATTTTATTGTGAAATTAACAGAATAAGAAAATTAACTATATAAAAGTTTCATTAAAATTGAAAGGCATTTTATGACTTAAATTAAAAATAATAGAAACTTGGAAAATTTCATTTTTTAAAAAAAATAAATAAATAAAAGGTTTAGATTATATTTCATTTAAAATTGATATTGGACAACATCACTTTATTGGTATCAGTAAAAAAAAGTTACATTAGTGTATCGCTGATAAAAAATGAATCAAATATCCATTTTTAAATCAAAACTATTAAATAATATATTATAATTACCTTACCATCACCTGTGCTAATTAAGCAATCAACTCCATACACCTCATAAGTTTTAAATTCACTTTTTTCATGTTCTTGTCTGAAATTCATTTCTTAATAAATAAACCAACTATTGAATATACTTTTGTGTGTCTGATGGATTTTGAATAATAGATTTGTCACCCTCAATTTGATGTTGTTTTAATTGATGCATCAATATACCTATAATAATCAAGGATAATAAAATTTGGATAAAGTACCTTCTATTGGCTTGCATTTAAATGATTCACATATTTTTTGCATAGCTTCTGTCACTTGAGAATTATTATTGCCATTTTTAATCAATCGATGACAAGCCTCAGCACAGTAGTGTGCTGCCAATATCACATCAGCAATTCTGCCATCAACTTTCTTATTCTACAAAATAAATTATGTTAATATTTATCTAAAATGAATACATTCGATATATGATTGACAACAATAGTATGAGCAATAACCCCTATATAACCATCCACATGTGCACCTAAATCACTAAAAAAGATAATATATAATAACTCTAAAATAAATATACATTTTAACAAGATCTCCACTTTTTAATAATATTTCATGATCGCTTACAAGGGGAGAAAAATGGCATACACAATTATTGACAGATATGCATGTTGGAAATGCAATTCCTTAAAAGAAAACAGCATTTTAAGCTTAAAAATAAATATTTATTACCTTTCTTAATTTCTTTATTCTTTTTGAAAACTTTAGAAGTTTCATCTTCTATTAATTTATCTCCAAATAGACATATTTCATGTATTTTGGCACCTTCAACACATTTTTCAATTACTAATTTAAGAGTTTCTATATATAAAAATAGTTTATCTTAATCAATTAAAAGGGTTTACTATTGACGATCTCTCCAGCCATGTTATACTTTGTAACAACCAAGTCATTCGCGATGGTTTGTTCTTCATCACCAGATTTAGTAGATGAGGATGACATTTCGTACGGTATTAGAAAATTACACTTTTTATAATATTATATAGTGATTGATCATTTCTGACATTGATAGTCGCACGTGTAATTTTACATTAAAAACATTGACTTGGATAATATGGTTTCATGTAACTTAAAAAAAATTAACTATTTTTTAAAAGTATATCTTCGATATATTTAAATTTGTATATTATTTTTTTTTAATTTTCAAAATGAATTTTCTTATATTAATTTTTATATGCATTCAGAGTGTACATGAGGGGGGGGGGGGGGTGTAGTAATAGTTTGCACGAGGAAGGTAGGGGGTATGGTAAATTCATTGAGAAGTTATTTATCAAATTTTTTGATAAAATAGGGAAAAATATATTGCTGTAAAAATTAATATTTTTATTATAGACCTATTTTAATATAATGATATTGCTAATCATCGATCTAATCTATATATTATGAACAATTATAGACGTTATTTTCCAAATAAAACTTTCTAATACATTTAAAAGGGTTAGACATTCTCAGCAAACTCATACTCATGCCATATACTATAATGATGCATTCATTGTAAATGAGAAGGCTTTTAATTGAATTCATTATCAAAAAATAACTCTTTTTCCACAATATTTTGATAGTTGGTAGTAATCTAAAATAATTTAAGTAATTTTTTTTTAAATTTATTATAATAAAAAAGGTGTAATTACTAATGGCGGCCAAAATTAAGGGAAGTGGGGGAGGGGTAGGCATAATTTTTGATGGGTTTTACATCCAGTGAAGTAGACTCTGTATGCATTATATCATACAAATGACGATGTGTGAAATTCAGTCTCAGGGAAGCAGAATTTTTTTATTTTCATAGCCACACTAAAAGATTACATTGTACATATTAATGTGCAGAATTTGTCATTTTTTATGAGAAAATCTAGATAACTAAATTATAAAAGTAATTCGCTAGATTTTTTTTATAAAAACTTGTTTAATTAATCAGTGACAAATTGGAAAAACTATTATGACTTGTGATTCTATTATAAGTTTGTATTATTCTTAAAGATAAAAATTACTACTCTGCCTTTGTTTGTGATAGGAAAAGAAGTTTTGATAATTTCTCCAAATTTTGTTAATTAGTTGTTGTTGGTTTACCTTTTTGGATAATCAATTTTTTCATGAGTTTAAATATATTTCGAATAAATTTTCAACCATACTGTTACAATATCAAATTTAAGATATTATATCTTTTTATTTGAAATGTTATTTTGGCTTCACTGGTTAATAATATTATTTAATATTAAATTAATTATATTTAGTCGAATATTGTTATTTATCATTATTTTGAAATGTTGTTAATTTTTTAGATACTTTTCTTAACTTTATCAAATATCGCAAATTCTTAACTGTTTAACTTTTATTATGTTATTATTATTACCAACAACCCAGAAATTTACTTCTTCAAAATACAATTCCTTTCAAAAATATGAATTATTTATATAAAAACAAAATATACAAAATCCAAATTGATTGCCATTCCTTATAATATATTGTTAATTAAATTATTTAATTGCCATTTTGAACAACTGCAACAATCATGTTATTTCAATGATGATTGTTATAAAATGAAAAGTTTTAGCATATAAAAATTATTATTTTATTTTACCTTTGGAAATTGTTATAATGCTATATTTTAGAAATAAAAGATATTACATATGCACTTTCTCTACCCACAATTCAATTAATAGACTTATTAAATTAGACTAGATAAATAATTTTCTTCTCTTTTATTTATTAAAAAAATTAAGTACTTTTTTTATTTGCTTCCTAGACGGTTATTTTTAAAATAAATTTAAACAATATATACACATAATTTTCTTTTTATTTATTATAAAAAATGATAATTTTATATTTGGTTCCCGTATGAATATTTTTAACTTAGTAAAAATAATATAATTTTTTTTAACTTAGTAAAAATGATTTCATTTTTTTTGACATAGTATAAATAATTGTAACGATTAGCTACCTAAAAAGATATATATAACAATCATCCTGGGTTTTTGGAAATGGAGAAACATCCTAGAATGTTTGTAGGTGAATATGGAAACATGATTTTGTATCAGATTATATGATATAATTTTTATTATATGTAACGTCTACATGAACAAATGGGAAGGAAGGGGGGCAGCTTGCAATTTTCTCGAGGGGGGTACGGAGTAGACGCCTTTGGGTGTAGGATATTGGAGGATTATCCATTAAATTTTTAAAATGAAATATGATAAAATATTTTGCTTTAAAAATTAATACTTTTATTATAGACCTATTGTAAATCAGTAATATTGATTTTTGACCTAATCTATATATTGCAAATAATTATGGACATTATTATCTAAATAGAATATTCTTCTATCCTTTTAAATGTAATTTAAAATAGTTAGACCTCTGGATCGGACTGGCGACGCTGGCCTCGTGGGCATTTTTTAAAGTGGCCTCATTTCATTGCAAGTGTTGATTTGTTATTGAAAAGGAAGGTAACAATGTCCATTTTAAAACCATTTCAAAAATTATATTTTCTAAGTGTAAGCTATTGTGGAATAAGCATTGGCAATCTTCATACTGTGCAGCCATTTTTAAGGAAAACATGGGAAGATATCTGATTAAACTGGTTGTAACAAGATGAAACTCTTTCTATAAGTTAAATTAATACATAGTCTTATTATGGAGAATTGCAAAAAAATTTATGAGTCTTGTGATAAATCTGAATTACAGAGATTTTCAGAAAACGACAAGTCGTTCCATAGGCGTAGCCATAGGGGGGGGCAAGGGGAACCCCCCCCCCCTCAGAAGTTTATTTCTAATATATCCCCCCACTCCATGACTCTCAAAAATGTATGTATATATCTTAAACAATAATTTGAAAGAAAGAATGTAAAAGTTGAAATTTTTTTTATAAAACTATTCATCATAATTTATACATTTTTGGAAAAAGGCATTTGTCCAAAAATGTTTTTTAATAAATGGAATGTAAGCCAAAGATAAGTCTTAAGACAAAAGTGTAATGTATTTTAATTATTAACTAGTAGAAAGCCCGTCAAAAATGACAGGGAATGAGATTTTTATTCATTTTTTACGATAGATGTCATGCTAGGTTCAAGCTTACAATATTAGGAAGCATCCAAGATCTTATAAATTTAAATAAGTTTATCAAGCCCAGCTCAACCCTTAATAATTTGTTAAAGATATTCCCAAGTCAGGTGCAAGCTAATATTAATTTTGAGGTTCCAAGCCCAGTCCTACCCATTAAAATTTTGAAAATTTTTTCCCGCCTCGGAGATAATTAAATTTTTAATATTATCACATGAATGGGAAATATCTGATTTACCAATTAGTCTAATGTGGAAAAAAAACATGTAAATTCTGTATTAGGGAAACTGGCAGGCCTTGGCAACCACTTATTAGAGAATCTTGACAAATAAAATAAAAATAACCGACTCTTATACTTTTTGTGTAATATGATCAATTAAAATTATATATAAAAAATATGTTGTTTATTATATAGGGTTATTGTTGTTTTTCAGATAAATTTAATGTATGTCTTGCATTTCTGAAATTATTTGTCAAAGAATTTGATAAGAGATATAAATTTTTTTATGTTAATAATTTGATAGGGGATATATATTTTTTTATGTTAATAATTTGATAAGGGATATATATTTTTTTATGTTAAGTAAAAAAAAAAATGCTGTCTATTTAAATTACAAAAATGCCATTAAACACTAATGAAACTTATATGCAAATTATTTATATATTATTTAAGATATTTTTTTTTATTGACATATAAATTTAGGATAATTTTTTTAAAAATAATGAGGATTATTTATTATGTATTTGATAAAATTAAGAGCAAATCCTTGTTGACATTTTAATTTTTGATGGAAAAAGCGACAAAATAAATCTGGGCGGTCGTCTGGAGAGGAAATAATTAATATATAATTTTATATCATTTAGGGTTGTAGATGAAAGTGATGACGGATTAACAAAGCAGTGTACAAAACACATTACGTCCTGATAAAGATGATATGCCTATGCCTTGGGATACTGGTAAAAGAAGAACGCAAAACGATATTTCTGTCAATGTCAGCATTGGTATCCCCCTTCTAAAATAGAATCATGAACGACAATGTTAACTCAACCATAAAACGGTCGTAAGTATTGTTTTAAAGGCCACGACAGAACTACTGCATATTTTTCCATTAATAAAGTTGATGAAATTGGCCATACTGTACATACAAGCTTAAAAATTCCTCTAAAAATATTCATGAAAGTTTCTTAGAGAATTGGATAAAGTAATATTTATATTAACTCCTAGTGAATTGATAGTACAGAATTAAATGTTTATATTTGTTAAAAAATAGGCGGAGGCATAGGGATTGTGGTAGTGGTGATAGTATAATTTGGAGAACTGGGTGAAAATAAAATAAACATAGATATAAAACATAAGATAAAAAAAACAAAATAAACCTCCAGATGAGTTCATTTCAAGCGTAATTCTTTATTATTTTGTCTACCAGTAACTCTAGAACGGGTAAGGCGTTTGTTTAATCGTCATTATTTTCTTTGCTTATCTTTAATAACAGATTCATCATGTTTTGTAGCAATGTGAGGGATTAGGGTTAGCCTAGACAAATAAAGAAATCAGGCAAAAATATAAATAAACTATTTTTGAAATTAAAAAAACATTAAAATAATGTAAAAACGGTAGATGGGTCAATATTAGATGCATATTTCTAGTAGTTGGAGGGCTATCATCAAAAAAATTTTTGGGGGACTTATCAGGCCTATTATGATATTCTAAAAGTTAAAAAATAACAAGATGAATGTAATATTATTACGATTAAGGTTAATTAATTGTAAGGTAATTAAAAAATAAGCTTAAAAAAGGGGGGAAAAAGAAGGTATAAATTATTATATTATAAAAACTAGTAGAAAGCCTGTCAAAAATGACGGGGAATGAGATTTTTATTTATTTTTTTACGATAGATGTCATGCCAAATCCAAGTTCACAATATTAGGAAGCATATAATTA